TTTTCTCCAAGGCTGGGTTCACACCTAGGCGTATCGAATATGCGCGTTTGTCACGCGTTTCGTGCCGCGCGTTTCTACAGCGATTCGCTGTAAAAAAAAACACACACGACAAACGCGCGTTTCCGAGGGCTACCTGGCTGTATCCCAATGGATACGCGCGGCAAATACGCCCCAAAGAAGCTCCTTTACTTCTTTGGGCGTTTTGTAGCGCGTTCATACGGCCTGTAATACGCCCAGGTGTGAACCATAGGAAATAATGGGATTACGGTGTTTGAGCGTTTTGCAGAGCGTAGGAACGCGCTACAAAACGCCCAGGTGTGAACTGGGCCTAACTGATCCCCAGCAACAGGCTATCTTGTTTAAACTGCAGGATTTAAACTAGCTAGGAAGAATAACAAGGCTGCCCTATACTGACAGGGTTATTCACAAAAGGGTGAAGAGTTTGGAGAAGGCAGGAGAAGTGAACAATCTAGGACAACATAGCGGAACCAGAAAGTGATCTGAATTGGAGAATGTTTCCAAATCACCTATGTTGGCCTAGATTGGTCACTTATTGTGCCTTCTCCAAACTCTTGACCCTTTTGTGAATAACTCTGTGAAGCTTCTAGAGCACTCACTACTTTAACCATGAATTATTGCTGTGTAGGCCTTTATACATTTTGCCAATTAATTTTTTTATGCATTATCTGCATTATTTACTGTGCCTGCAGGAGGGGATAGTTAAAGTACAACTGAAGCCAGAACTCCTTTCTTAGTTTTGGATAGAGTGGAGAGGGATTAGAACACTTGTCAGATTTTTATTGCTGCTGTGTTCCTGTGCGGGAGATTCACCCTCCCTATGTGTCCTGGTGACCATTATCACTGAAAGTGAAAGAGAATCCCAAATTTTGGGTTGTTATCAGAAACAGAATACATAGGAAATCTTTTAGGATAGGTTCACACCATTTTCCGGATGGTGTGAACCTGGCCGAAGTTACAGTGCATTCCAGACCAGACAAAATGAGACATACAGTATTTTTCTGGTCTGGCCTGGAACATACTGTGCTGGTGTGAACAGAGGCCAGAAATAGCATAGGGATACATTAGGATGCATTTTGGGTCCGGAAACAATCTGGTCTGGTCTGGTCTGGAGATGATCTGGATGGGGTGTAAATGGGCCCTCAATGTGGACACAAGTCATAGAGACTCTCAGGGGCAGGGCCCTCCTTCCCATCTTGTCTTGAATTGTATTGTGATTGTAAGGTCTTCCTTATATTGTAACGCGCTGCATAAACTGTTGGCGCTATATAAATCCTGTATAATAATATAATAATAATAATAATAAAGACCCTTCTGTCCACCAGGGATTTCCCTTTCTTTGGAGATATTCCCTCTCACTCCCTGTTGTGGCTATTGAACAGGAAGTGAAGGGCAATCTCCTCAATGTGACACAGATGACAGAAAAGGGGTTACAACCCTTGCTTGCACTATCCAAAACTAAAGAAAAAAAAAAAGGTTTTGGTTTCATTCCTTTTTTTAAGTATTAATGCCTTTCTTTTACAGTATGGCCCTGTTTCTTTTTTTGAAGATGTGACAGAATCTTCTGAAAGGATGTTTACTTTATTAAAACAATCATATTAACTTCTTTAATTTACTATCCTCATCAAATTGTAAAACAGAATCACAGAAGATACAAATGAGTAGAAAACCATGTGCCAGACACAGTCATAAATAATAATGGGGTCCCAGGTGTGTGAGCCGGGCTACAGACATGCCATTAATTTGTATGGATGGGCCTAACATGCCCCAGGATGTCAGAAAGTCACATAAACAATGCTTATGTAAGGTAGTCTTACCAATGGGTATGAATCCAAGTCATAAGAATTAACATAGCCATAGTACTTATAGGATGGACAGGCGTGGGTCAACCATGGAAAGAGTTCTTTTTCCGGAACTTACTTACATTACATATTCAAACCACATGTGCTTTTTTTATGATTAAAAACATTAATCCCACAAAGTTTCCAAACCTGTTCTATTAAAATGACGCCCAAGCTGTAGCATCTCCATTGACTACTGCTTCACCTGGTCAGGCTAGATCAGGCAACAGTCATCTCATCACAAATTTAGAAACACCTATTATAAGCGATATCAACCCTTACCCTACATGATTATGGCAAGAAATACTCAAATATGTCAGGTCGTTTCCTATTATCTGGACATGTGTGGCTACAAAAAAAACAATGGTTTGCATTTTAAATAGTTATGTGTTATCTAATCTCTTAATTGTATCAGAGTTGATTTCAGCCTCAAACATGTAACTAACCATAACAGAAGCATTCACCCAATATATCTGTGAAGGTTCTTATTCATCCAGGTCATTCTATATCTGTAAAAAATAAGTCAAATCAACTGGACTTGCTGTATTTTTCTTGAAGACATTTCACTAGTCATCCAATCGGCTTTCTCAATTCAGAACTCAATTTCTGAATTGAGAAAGCTAGTTGGATGACCAGTGAAACGTCTTCAAGAAAAATAAAACAAGTCCAGTTGTCTTTAATTATTTTTTACAGATATTCACCAATATAGTTGGTATCAAGAGACGTTTAAAGTGTATGTCTGGGAAGAAACACTATATGTAAATACACATAAAATTATAACAGGGTTGGACATATCCCAGGAGCCGGGTCACCTACGCTCCTGAACAATTACAGCTGGCACCCAACTTTTGAGGTTTTCTTTAGCTATTGTCAATGGAGCCAGCTCCTATAATACTCTACAGGCTCTTAGATATGACAGACTGTCTCCTTATTTATTTTGCTGAGACACGCACATGTAAATTGAACTCACAGGGGATCTAAAAGGTGGCCATACACTGTGCAAATTTTGACCAGTTCTTAAGGAACCAGCCGGAATTCGCACAGTGGGTGCCGCTGTCCCTTTCTTCAGGCATCCCTTGATCAGCTGATTGAAGGAGCTGGTTGTAAAAAGTTCTAACAAAAACATTCGGCAGCCAATCAGCCGCATGCTCTGTTGGGGTATAACGACAGCAGCTGCCGTCAGAATACAGTGAAGACAGCGGGACATTCCCCGATTAACCATTGATGGAGGAATCTGTACAAAATTTTTTTTCGTTCAACCCACGGGCCAGCTTAAGGACCTCTTGTATCTTAAAAACTGGAGTTATTTTCTCACAGCCACCAATGAAATCTAAACGTTGGGGGAAACTCTGAATCTGACTTGTGGGTGAGGGGAAATAACTCCAGTTCTTAGCAAATATTTATACATCAAAACTCATATTTGTTTGTTTATTATAGAACACCATAATTCCCCATTGTCACTGTGATCATGCATAATGATACGCCTACTACCACGTGTCCTTTTTATGTGGATCGTTATTTCAGTAATGCATTTTCAGATTTAAATACAGATTTACCAAATCTTAACTTTTCTTGTGTACAAACGTTAAACACTTTTTTTGTGCTCCATGCTTCTAAAGTTTTCTATTTTTATTAAACGTGCAAAGCTACATACACTTAGCAGGTGGAATATTTATACAGCATAATAAAACATTTTCAGCATGCCACAAAAGGTCAACATCGGAATGATTGAGAATTTCCAATATTTCTCTCTCTTTGAACATTTGCCCAATTGAGTGCCAGAATATTAAACACTGGTAGTTTCCAACGGCTTAACCTGTATGTGCAATGTATATACATTCATTCACAAATTGGTAGTAAATTCTTACTTTTGGATTCACTTATTCCTGCAGCTACAGGGGTGTTTTGTATCTTATTAGTGCAATCAATATTTGGGCATCAGTATGAGTTAGCCACCATGCCTGACCAAAACATGGGTAGATGCATGGGAGGACATCTGACAGAGCGATAAAAGAAAATGCCACATTACTAAAGTCAGCTACCATCTGGTACAAGTGGTGCCATTTGACCATACCAGATATGACAACAACAAAAACCGACAACTGTGGGCTAATGCTATTTTTTCGCTATGCTGTATTCAACTTAAACACAAACTTACAATAATAAAAATCCTATGCCATATGAAATTTCAAAACAATTCTATTTTCTATGAGATACAAGGAGATTCATGCAACACATCACAGATTCATTCAGCAAATATTGAAAGATGAAAGTGTTCGATCTAGAAGCTACAAATATAGGCATTCCCCATTGTCATATATGTACCTTTTCCTTATGTCAATGGGAACAGTCAGTTAACCTGTAGAGTGTGGTGCGAAGTAAAAGAACAATACCAGTAAACATTAAGACCGAGGGTGTCAGAGTGAGCATTGATATCCAAATAACATTTCCTGAAACCAACACATGGCTCTATGGATTGCATTGTTTGGAAAAAAATGTGGACAAGAATCTTATTCAGCTATTCTCCTTTAAAGGGCACTGGCTTTTGTGTCACAGAACTCCTATTCTGCTATTTTATTCACCCACCACAATTGTACATTCATATACAGAGATTGGGTAGCAGAAATCAAACCAAAAAAAAGGTAAAAAAAGACAACCACCACCCTGACAGCCCCTATTTCCTGACCCGGCCATGCAAACCACAATAATCCAATATTATTATTTAAATACAGTGTACACATTTTTCTGATAGCTTGCAAAACAAAAATCAGCTTTGTGACGCTTGCCGTGTTTTCATAACAAACTGAAAATAGGAAAAGTTCAAACCAAAATACGAAGAGAAAGCAGCAATCTGCCACATTTCGAGGAAGAAAAACACAACAACAAGTAGACTTAGTTGCTACCTACGAAGGAGAAACGAGAAGATACACGATAATAACATTGGTCTGTTTCCAAGTATTTCCTTTTCAAGCCTGCCTAGTATTGCAAACATCATAAACCCGATTGTGCTTCAAATGGATAACGCAAAGAAGATGTATACGTTCCAATTGCATGCAACAGGGATGAAAACAGACATGTTCCCCCTATAGCTGTACCCTTCAATAAATACAGACACAACGTACAATTAAACAACACACTGACCTTTACACACCAAGCATCAGCAACGAATGCTTTTTTTTTTGGTCAGCTACACTCCAGGTGACTGCTGTTTCGTCAGTAAATAGGTTATCATACCTCTATCAACGCCTCCGCTCCACCTATCTGGATTTCTTTATGCTACCAGGGAAGCAAAAGGGGAGGAGGTGATGAATTTATTCGGGAGCCCTCATGGATGATTTAAAAAACACTTCCATACACACACTCCTTGGGGTCCCCGCATGTGTTTATTCCCATCCCTTTCAGATGTCCCTTCCAGTCTATTGTACTAATTCCTTCTTTTCCACACTATGGGAATATTGTGAAGGGACACAAAAGAGGATGTACCGGGAGACAGTGGTATGGAGGAGAAAGGGGCGTAGCAAAGTGGGGGAGGTGGCTGAGGAAGCTTTGTTTACGATGGCTAGAGGAGGGCTTATTTATTTTGATGGAGTTCAGGCTCAGCTGTAACCTGCAGTCTCCAGAGAGGTAAAAGGAAGGAGGAGAAAGTCACAGAAAGACAAGCAGCACAAAGCCACAAGGATGTATTGAAAAGACAAATCACACATCTGACCGTTCACCATCAAAGCCTTCATCAGGCAGCATGCAGATTTTTGTACCATTCACTACCCATGGCTGCCAACTTCCACAAATACCCTTCGGAGCTGAGTTCACCAAACAAGCATTGACAAGTATATCTGCATGTTGAGTAAAAAACAGTGTCTACAAAACCACTGATTGGTGATGATGGATGAACAAAAGCCCCTGCATATGATGCCCGTGTGGAGCAGATGGGAGGCTGCAGCGTTTCTACTACAACAACAACAACAATTCAGCTAAGCGGTGAACCCTAATCAATGATATCATTGCTGTTGCTTGGAGACTCCTAGCTAAGAGGCTTATTCCATAAGGCAGAATGAAGTGCTATACAAAAACCATGGCAACCACACAGATTTTACATATTCCATTTCTTATTGGTTGTTATGGGTTACTGCATACCACCAATGCACTGTGGGGGGGAATTTATCAAAACGGAAGCTGACTGAACAAGGAGCAGTTGTCCACGGCAACCAATCAGCTTCTCTCTTCAGTTTGTTCACTTAAGCTTTGAAAATGAAAGAGAGAAGTTGATTGGTTGCTATGAGCAGCTGCTCCAGATTTTATCTGCTCCAGTTTTTACCAATTCCTTTCTTTGTATGTTTTTAGTTAATTGCTAAGGAACATAGGGACTTACATAAAGCACACCTGCTGAAATGCAGGGACAATGCATATCTATGCTCTCAAAAAAGGGGAAATAAGACAACATTTGTACAAAACTGGCTTTTGGTCCACAGTTAGCACTCCAAGACTATAGTCTTCATCGATCGGACTGCCCGGCATAGCCAATATTACAGAAACAACATCATGGCAATATGAAAAGCCTCTAGGTTTTAAGTCAAGGCATATTTGACTAGCAGGCAGTCTGAAAAGCTTACAATGATTTCCTGTAAGGCCTGGTTCACACCTGGGCGTTTTACAGCACGTTCCTACGCGCTGTAAAACACTCAACATGTGAAAAATCAATAATTGCCTATGGCCATGGTTCCCACCTGGGCGTTTTACAGCGCGTAGGAACGCGCTGTAAAACGCCCTACGCCCAAAGAAGTACAGGAGCTTCTTTGCGGCGTATTTTTCGCGCGTATCCATTAGGATACAGACGCATAGCCCTCGGAAACGCGCGTTTCTTTTACCGCAAATCACGGTAAAAACGTGTGGCACGAAACGCGCATATTCCGTACGCCTGGGTGTGAAACCAGCCTAAAACTTCACCTTACTTTTAGAATCCCTTGTTAATGTGTGCAATAAAATCAAAGGGGCTTTAAAGGAGAACTATGAGGTGAGTGATTTCCACTCACCTCATAGTTCTAAGCCGACCTGTGACAATGAGACTGTCACAGGTCGGCTCAGTAGATCGGGAGGTGAGCGAACACATACCGGGTTCCCTCACCTCTCGATCCTGTCACGGCTCTCTGCCATGACAGGGGGAGAGGCTGGATTCCCCTCTCCCCGCTCCGATCTGCCAGCTCGCGGTAAACTGAGCTTAGGGTAACGGGAGGACGCTGGTTTGTGTCCTCCCGTTACCCCAAGGAGAACTATGGGGAAAAACACTGACCCCATAGTTCTCCTTTAAGCCATTTCAGTTGCTGATTTATTCACTTACAACAAATGCTTCTCCTTGATGTTTAAAAGTTTTAGTTTCCTACAGAATCATCTGGTTCCTGAGCTCTGGTCCTGATATCCTGTTTTAGGGTGGCTCCTTTCCCTTGCAGGGTCCCATGGAGACACCCCTGTGCGTGCGTCTCCACAAACACACAGACACAGCAAGGCTAGACACTCCCCTGCTCCTCACTCCTCCCTCTTCCCAGCTAGTAGATGGATAGTTGCTGGAGGCTGCTCCGTGCCTTGTGATCTTGTACTCAGCAGGACATTCAGGTAAGCTTAACTGAGAGAATTGGAGACAGCTGCAAACTTGATGACTAAGTGTTTGGGCCAAAAATGTAAAGAAATACTTTGCTGGGCAACATATATTTGTTTGATCTAGATCAGGGGTCCTCAAACTACGGCCCGCCAGGTTCCTTGGCCCGGCCCGTTCGTGTGTCAAGGCCGGGGAGCTGCAGGCCCCTACCTTCACTACCTCCCGGCCGGCCGTTGTAAAAAAACGGCCGGCACTCTAGTCCAGTAGATTTAAAAACAGGCAGCGATGCTTCATCAGCTTCTTCAGGGGGGTCCTAGGTGACATTAGGGGTCCTGGAGACCCCTGATGTCTCCATGAAGAGGACCCGTCACATCTTTTGCTATCACATAGGGGGGTTTCTTAGCCCCCTATGTAATAGCAATAAAGTTAAGTGGAAAAAAAAAAAAAGGAAACTAAAGTAAAGATTACATTTTTTTTAAAGTTACACATAAAAAAGAATAAAAAAAAAACAACATTTTTAAAAAAGTCCCCACCCATAAATACACGCATGCAAACATGCGTCGGGTGCGCATACCTGCCAAAACGACGATTGCACCCATTACGCTGCACATGTTACATATCGCCGCGAACGTCGCAGTGTGAGCAATAATTCTAGGGCCATCAATCACTGATAACACTAAACTGATGAGCTGTAAAAGTTTTTAAAGGGCCGTCTATGGTCAATTTTGGGTATGGTGGTTTTTTGCGAGTGCGCGCAATTTTTAAGCTTGACATGTTTGGTGTCTATTTACCCGACGTGACCCCGACTTTTATATTTTACCAAAAAAGTGGGTGATAATTAATGTTTCCTAACATAATGTAAAAAAAAACTTTTTGTTTTGAAATTTTTTTCTGTAATTTTCCTGAAATATAGTAAAAAAAATAAAACCCCCAGTGGTGATTAAATACCACCAAAAGAAGGCTCTATCTGTCCCCAAGAATGGTATAAAATTCATTTCAGTACAGCGTTGCAGGACGGAACAAATGTCAATCAAAGTACTGCAGCGCTGAACACTGAAAAATGGCCTGGATGATAAGGGGGTCTAAACACCGCGGTCTTCAAGCAGTTAAAATAGGCCCAGCCGCCCTAAACAACATATAGCAATCAATCAGCCGCCCGACCACCGTCAGGGTCCAGGGAGAGAGCGTCATGCCGCCGGCCCCGCCTAGGTGTCAGGGAAGACACACAGGCTGTCCCGGAAGCTTGGCAGCTTCTGTGTTCGGCCTGCGCGGCTGCACCCTTTCATCTCAGGGCGCATGCCGAGGCAAACCAAATGCCTTGGTTCCTTTACCAGCGTAACGCCAGTGCGGCTGCGCCCCTCCAACTTTGGGTGCACACCAGCACAGGCCCTTGTAGAACGGCCAATAAGAAGAGAACTGGGATATGAAGTGATATCATCTCCCTGCCTCTCCCAAAGCTGCACGCTGCTGTAGAGAGGTAAGACAGGGCAGTCTACATGCCCATTCATTGTAATAAATAACAAATACTTGAGCTGTAGAAAATAATAAGAGATCATGCTAGTACATGTCCCAGGCTAAGAGAAATACATTGTATTCAAAAAATGTTTTGTTTATTATAGAAGTTGTTAAAAATATTTATATATACCCTCTAAGTAAGGGCTTATTCACACCAGAGCAGCAGCTGCTGGAACGCAGAGCAATTGCTCACTAATGTTCGCCCTTTGTTCTGGGATGGGAGGGGGGCGTGGCGGTGTGGCACCACAGCCACGCCCCCCCCC